TCGTTAACAGAGCTCTATTGTTTGCAGCAGGTACAAAATTATTCGGGTATATATTTAAAATACATATTTTAGGATGAAGTGGAATCAACAGACTCAACAGATTTATTACCTTTTCCCAAAAGATTTTCACACGTGGACACTCCCATATACAGTGAAATAAAGTGACCCTGTCCACTCCACACAGGCGTCTGGGATGTTTGAATTAAAATGATGCATTTTTGACGGAGTCTTCTTAACCATTTATATTGAAGTAGTCGAGATTGCACATTAATTGTCTGACTCTGGGAAAGGAGCATGGTTTATACCCCTCATCATCAGATATATCCATTTGCAAATCCTTCCTCCATGTCTCTAAAATAGACTGTGTTGATTCTTTGGAATTTTCCATAAATAATTTGTACAATGCAGAAACTTGGCCTCTCCCATTTACATGCTTTATAACTGTGTTCAATGGAGAGGAGTAGGTGGGGGTTTCTAAGCTGTTACCTTGTGTGGTTAAGATAAAATTTCTTAATTGAAGAAATTTAAAAAAATGTTTGACAGGAATAGAAAAAGTACTTCTAAGTTGTTCAAAAGACATAAGAGTATTATTCCTAAATATATCAGACATTTTTCTTAAACCTTCATCGAACCAAAATTTAAAACCTGCATCCGCCCTGAAAGCTGTTATTTCCAAATATCAGAGTAAACCGAGACAGTTGGATCATTTCTCCCAAGTAGTTATGTGTTTCAAACCAGATCATTATAGTGTTTTTTAAAAAGCAGTTCTTAGTTTGTTTATTTAGTGTCTTCCTGTCGGCTGAGTAAAGATAGAAGTCCGGCGAAATTTTGATTTCTGTAGACTCCATAGAAACCAACACTGGAGTTTGCTCATTAACAAAATAAAACATTGCCACTCTGTTTGAGCAGAAGTACCACTTTAAATTTGGAAGTTGTAAACCCCCTCTTTCATAAGGAAGGTATAATAATGAGATTCTGAGTCTTGGTCTTCTGTTATTCCAAATAAAGTTTTGGAATAGTTTTTGCAAATCTAAGAAGAAAGAGTTTGGTGGAGAGAGAGGTATTGATTGAAAAAGGTAAAGATATTTTGGCAAAATAATGACATTTTTAGTATATTAATACGACCAGTTAAAGATATAGGTAGTTTCATCCATCTGTTTAGGAGTGCAGTAGCTGATGTCGTTAAGGAATTATGATTGGATGCCAGAATATTTTCAACTGAGTGAGTTAATTTCACACCCAGATAAGTAAACCCATGTTCAGATAGCAGAAAGGGAGTGTTGATTGGAGGATTTTGGCGTTCATTTTTATTCAAAAATAATATTTCGGATTTATCAAAATTTATTTTATAACCCGAAAATGTACTAAATGTATTAATGAGAGTTAATATGGATGGTATTGATTTGTTTAAATTAGTGCAGAGCAGGATCACATCATCTGCATACAGGGCAATACGGTGGTCGACATTTCCTACTTTAATTCCTGATATGTTTTTATGATTCTGAATTTCCATCGCAAGAGGCTTGATTGCCAAGGTGAACAAGAGAGGTGACAAAGGGCAAACTTGTCTAGTTCCACGATATAATCTGAATGGTGCGGAAAAAAGACCGTTAGTTAAAATCTCTGCTTGAGGGTTGGAGCATATCAACTGAATCCATTTAAAAAATCTGTTTCCAACACCAAAGTTTTTCAAAACTTTAAATAAAAACGGCCATTCGATCCTGTCGAAGGCTTTTTCCTCATCCATTGAGATTAACGCATTGTCTCTTTTTTCTCATAAATGATATTCATGACCCTCCGTATATTGTGAAACCCCTCCCTCCCCTGGATAATAGTGATGGGATTTCTGTCTCTTTT